GTTGTATGGTACTAAGTTTATAGTCTTCCTTTGAGACACTATAAAAAAGCGTAGAAGATTGTGCAGAGCGTCGAAACGCTTTCCCTAAAGAGAAAATTGACCATGTCAGTATCTGCATGCTTAAACTATGCTAAATGGGGTTTATACGAGACGGGTTATCTCGGCTGGCTCAGTTGACCTCGCAGCTCAGTTGGAACACACTCAAAGTTACAATAGGAAAAAATATGGGAAATTGTTTCCGATATAACAGGAGTATCAAAAGGCTAACAGAACAGCACGAGCTCCACCTTTGAATTTACTATATGAGTGAATTCTTAAACATGTCCGAATTTATCATTATGATAAAATAAATTCGCGGCACATTTTGAATTTATCATAATAATAAATTCGCGGCACCTAACACTAACACTAACCCCAACCACTAACCCTTAACCCCTAATCCCTAACCACTAACCCTAACTTTTTAAACTTTTTAAATTGTTTAACTTTGTTAAAAATCTAAATTTTTAAACTTTTTTTTGCTTTTTAAAACTCTTAAAAACTTTTTTTTTTGAAAATCTTGAAAATCTCCCCACCCTCGCGCGACCATACTCCCTTTTAGTGCCATTACATTTATAACAAGAAGTCTTGTCTAATGCTTGTGGTTTTATGATTAACTCTATTGATAAATTCAAAATGTGCCGCGAATTTATCATAATGATAAATTCGGACGTGTTTAAAAATTTACTCATATAGTAAATTCAAAGGTGGAGCTCATGTTGTAACAGAAGTATCAAAAGATTGATTCAAACAAACTCGAACACATAACCTCAAAAGAGAAATTATCCTAATTATCATAAAATATCACCTCATGTCCTTTAATATGAAGATTCCCATCTGGTGTCTTCTCAATTTTATGATGCCGAATTCCGCCTGCATTATCTCTGCAAAACGAATAATTATATACACTTATACTTTATGCCCGAGTTTCTTGTTTCGGGATCATTGTGCCTCGAAACTCAACTACATATAAAAAAACTACTTTATTTATACAGGATAACTAGTTCTATCAGTTTTAAATTGTCCTCTGTGAGGTCTAGTGAGAGTAATTTCTCCAGTGTTACTGTACTACAGAGTAAACCTCAACTATAAACTACACTAGTTAACTGTTTTAATATACTGAATATTTCAATTCATTGCATGGAAACTGTTCTTTGTGGAGATCCAGTAATTGCCATCTCATATTGGTCAAGTGTTACTACAGTACAGGAAGAAACTTAAAATAAACTATTTTTTAAAATTGGATAGTTTTATCAGTTCTCAACTGTTCCTAGAGGAGGAAACCTCAACTAGGTTCGTACAGGCCAGGGAGAGTTAAATTCAGTGCTCTCATTTCCCATTGCCTGGAATTCCTTAGATTCTCGGTAAAAAATTCCTCAGATTTAGTACGATTTCCTTAAACGAGGGGTAAGCATGTTTTTTTTGTAATTCATGGCCTGAATGATTGAGAATTACAAAGTTAGGTTCCCAGAATTTTTGTCTCATTTGGGAATTGGGATTTTGAGCAGCATCGCCAGAAGGAATTTCACATTGTTGGTCAAGGAATATTCAAGGACTTTCAAGTTCATATATCAGGACATTCAAGGACTTGTTTATAAGTTCCCGCTTACCCGGGATTGAATGAAGTGTGACGTATTTTGAGAAATTGAAATAAGTCGCACTTCATGGTCTAACAAAATTGCTTGTTACAAATTGTATGAAATTCCATGTTTTAGACAAAAAAACAAATGTTGTTGAATGTTATTAATCGTCTTTTTCCACTACATAACTTCTAGCGCTTTCCTAATTTCGTTTAAACAATATTTAAAGTTATCTAACTTTTGTTTAGGGCTGAAACACGTATTTCAATTGCTCAAAATACGCCACACTTCATTGAATCCCGGGTAAGCGGTACCATACTCTATAAACAGCCCCTAAATGGCTGAAAAGAAGGCGTTAGAGATCAGTAAAAAGTGACGTTCAACTGTTCAAGCAGCAACTTTAATGAATTTCAAAGAGCTTTGGCCTTTGTAAGACATGAACAAAATCATGATACTTGCTGTGTTGGTGTAGTGTACTCAGGTGAATAAGATGCTTGTGTGATGTTACTCTGAGTGTATATCCACACCGGGCAGGCTTGAAAAATATGCCTGGCCACGGTGGGAATCGAACCTACGACCTTTGGAATACTAGCCCAAATGCTCTGCCAACTGAGCTACGCGGTCAGGTCGGACAGAGCATTGTTGGCAGAGAACTAGTATTCCAAAAGTCGTAGGTTCGATTCCCACCGTGGCCAGGCAAATTTTTCAAGCCTGCCCGGTGTGGATATACACTCAGAGTAACAGCATGAACAAAATCAATTTACAAAATGGCCAATTCTTAATGCCAAACAATTTGAGAAAATATCCCCTAAAACAAGAACAATTTAAGGACTTTCAAGCACTTCTTTACAAACTCAAGAGCTTTCATGCAAGGCCTTGGATTTTTGTTTCCAAATTCAAGGATATTCAAGGATTTTCAAGTTTTGTACGAATCCCAACTAAACTTGAACTAATTTCAACTGCATAGCTCTATCAGTTCTTTTCTACTCTCTTGTAGAGGTTCAATAAGGGTCATCTCTATTAGCTATTCCGAAGTTGATGAGAGGACTGGGGACGAATGTTAAAAAGTGCCCAAATTAAGAAATGAACCAAAACACTAAAAAGACCACCTCAAAATTAGTAAGTATACAAAGTTTGAAGACATTTACACGAATACCCTTCGAATAATAAGCTTTCGAAAAAAATCGTGATATTTACTATGAAATGTACTGTAATTTTTGTTTTTTGGGACGCGCGTCCCCAAAACAATAATTTAATCAGTAATTTCACAATTTCCGAAAGCTTATTATTCCGAGGGTATTCATGTAAACGTCTTCAAACTTCGTATACTTACTAATATTGAGGTGGTCTTTTTAGTGATTTGGTTCATTTTTTAATTTGGGCACTTTTTAACACTCGTCCCCAGTCCACTCATCAACTTCGGAATGGCTAATTGGTCCAAGGTCTAGTGTTACTACAAGAGGAAACTAAAGCTGAACTAACTTTATTTGTACTGAATAGCTATATCTATTCCAAGCTATTCTCCCCTAGAGGTGCAGTATAGGGGGCATCTTTCATTGGTCCAGTGTTGCTACAAGAGGACACCAAATTTTACAATTTATTTTAAATCAAGATCTGCCCGCAAATGCAATAGTTTCAGTCTTACTTTAGCGAGATTACATAACCCATGTTCCTACTTGAAGAAACTTCAATAT